GTTAACAGTGCTGACACACAGAGAGGTCTCTGGCGAAAGGCTATAGTTAAGCAGATGTACTATGACCAAGATGGCCACGTCAGGACACTGTGTTTGAAAACTTCAACTCAAGAAGTGGAACAAGATATAAGAAGCGTACGAAAGGTCAACGTGGTGATCGTTCGCGGGGAGTGTTAATCGCGACAGATAGATAGACTATATGATAAACAGCTAATCAATATGATGTGACCTTCTTGTCGCGATTATTGGTCAATTTATTGTAACTCTCACCACGTGATGACCTTGAATGTTCTTTTTTGTCTGTCACTCTATTTGTGTATACATGTAATTAATTGACTGTTCATTTTGTCCGTACCCTCAATACTGTTCGGTACGTTTTTGTCCTATTTTTGTAATGACAGTGGATTTGTACATTTTTCTTGGTGTAATTGTATGATTTATTTTATGTTTTAGAAACAGATAAAGTTTAAGTCAAGTTATTCTGTTTTAACTATAGTAAAGCCAAGACTCTGTGTCGTCAGTATTGAGGAAGGACTAAATCTGTAGGACAAAAATAATCCTACAAAGTTTCGAACAGTATTCAGACGAAAGTTTCGAACAGTATGGCAGACGAAAGTTATGAAACTATGCCGTCGTTAACTCCACAGTTAGAAAAGAGTAATGAAGCTGATTTCCCTGGAAGCAACGAGAATAAATCACGCTATATGGTAGAATTGGAGCTAGCGAAATTGCGCATAGTCCAAAAAGAGAAAGAAATGGAATTAGAAAGATTACGACAAGGTAGTCGCGAATGTTCTTGTCACAATAAATCGCCTTACAAACCTTCTACTTCTCATAAAGTCTCTGTATCTCTTAATGATGAGTTCGCCAGAGGCATATCTAAGTTTCTGGACATGCTTAAAAGATATCAATATTTTAAGATGGATGCCGATGAACTTGAGTGTTGGATCAATGAAAAACTGCAAACCTATGCAAACGAGGATTTTAAAGAACTCAGTAATCTTCAGCTGAAAAAACAGAAACATCAAGAGTTTGAGTTCGAAGTAACAGTTCATGCTGAAACACTGTCAGCTCTGGATTCTGCGGGAGAAGAAATGATTGGTCAGGGGTACTACGCAACAGATATTATCAAAAACCGTCTTGATGAATTGCATGCCCTGTGGGAAAGGTTTATGGCTATTTTCAGAGAAAAATCACGTCTTATTAACCTAACGCTTAAATTTGTCCAGTTTTCACGCCAAGTCGACGAGATACTTTTCTGGATACGTGAAAAAGAAACTTACGTAACATCAGAGGATTTCGGTCAAGACTTGGAACATGTTGAGACACTTCAAAAAAGGTTTGATGAGTTTACAAAGGATCTCGAGTATCAAGAAAGTCGTGCCGAAGACATCTATCGGAAGGCAGATGAACTTCTAAAAGAGGAATTTCCTGAGGATGCCCTAGTCATAGAAAAGTCCAGAGAGGTCCGCGAAGCTCTAGAACGTCTGAAGGATCTGGCTAGAAAACGACAAGAAAAGCTCCTGGAAGCCTATGAGATACAGCGCTTCTTTAGAGACACAGATAGAGCTATATCGTGGGTGAATGAAAAGTCCATTCCTTTATCCATTGAGGACTGTGGTCGTGATCTTGCCTCAGTCCAAGCCTTACAAAGGAAGCACGAAGCATTAGAAAGGGATTTGACTGCCCCAGATGAAAAGATTGTTCAACTTGGAGATGATGCTAAGGCGCTTGCACAGAAGCATCCTGATTCGCAAGACACTATACAAGGCAAGTATGACGCCTTAATCACTGCATGGGATAAGCTGAAAAGTCAGGCTGTAGATAGGAGAGGTAAACTGGAAGAGTCATTCAAGATGCATCGCTTTTTGGCTGACTGGAGAGACTTGAGTATCTGGATGAATGACATGAAGACGTTAATATCGGCGGATGATTTGGCAAAGGATGTAGCTGGTGCTGAAGCCCAAGTAGAACGACATAAGGAATACACCGCTGAGATAAATTCTCGAGCTGACAGTTTCGATACATGCATGCAAGAAGGTCAGGCATTACTAAGTGTTGGCCATCCCTGTAGTGGAGACATAGCTGCTAAACTTTCCACCCTTGAAAGAGAGAGAGCCTCCCTGATGCAGTTGTGTGAGGAAAGACGTGAACAGCTAGAACAGTGTATGGGCCTTCAGTATTTTTACCGCGACGCTGAACAGTCGGAATCTTGGATTGGTAAGCAAGAGGCCCTCTTAGAAATAAAAGATGTGGGAGACTCACTCGATTCTGTGGAAGCACTCATAAGGAAACATGAAGACTTCGAAAAGTCACTTCTAGCACAAGAAGAAAAGATGCGACAACTTGATGAATTCGCTGCAAAATTAATCGAATCAAACCACTATGCGGCTGCACAGGTTCATGAGATTCAGGAAGGTCTTCAAAGTAGACGAAATGCATTAAAGGAGAAAGCTCAGAACCGCCGTCAGCGTCTTGAAGATTCCCACCGTTACCAAATGTTCGATAGAGATGCAGATGAAATGCAGTCATGGATATCAAGAAAACTTAAAAATGTACTTGACGAAAGTTACAAAGACTCCACGAATTTGCAAACAAAGGTGCAGAAGCATCAGAGTTTTGAGGCAGAAATACAAGCGAACCAATCCCGCGTCGAAGATATTAAAAAGACAGGTCAGGATTTGTTAAATGCAAACCACTACAACTCACCAGAAATAAAAGTAAAGATTGAACAGTTGGATGAAACTTGGTCTCATCTCGTAAATGCCATGGGAGACAAGAAGAAAAATTTAGATCAAGCAAGTAGGCAACAACAGTTCGCTCGCAACATAGAAGATGTCGAGTTATGGTTGAATGATGTTGAAGCTCAGATAGCCTCAGAGGATGTCGGTCGTGATCTAAACGGTGTGATGAACGTACAAAAGCGGCACAACTTGCTTGAATCTGATGTAGCTACTCATCGTGAACGTATAGATACATTCAAAGTCCAGGCTGACACGCTTGCTGCAGAAAGTCATTTCGACGCTCCTATTATCCAAGAAAAACAAAGACAGTTAGCCCAACGTTACCATGACCTGCAAATCCCTCTAAGTCAACGTCGTGAGAAGTTAAGAGATGCCCTTCCCTCGGACACATCTTTGCAGCTTGAATATGGTGACTATAGTGAGCTGATGAAGTTACTAGTCGATTGTTGTAAAGATTTTAAAGCACATTCGCTTAACCAAATTGAATCAGAAATGTGGCATCAGTATGCTGAAAGCTTCACTACTGGCTCAGTAGCCACTCACAAAGATGCCTTCAGGTTATGGGTTAAAGATAAGAACCCTGTTGTTGAAAAGTATATTGGGTTTATAGAGTCATACCGTGATCCCTTTGGTGTTCGTGCAAGGTTTGAATCATTTGTCGCTGTTGTAAATAGATCAGTGTCTAAAAAATTCCAACGACTTGTAAATAATGCTGAAAGGTTGTTAACAAATTTACCATGGCCTTCTACATTTGAAAAAGTTAATTTCTTACAGCCAAACTTTACTAGTTTGGATGTAGTTACGTTTGAAACTTCTGGAATTCCTGTTGGAACTAATATTCCTAACTATGATGATGTACGACAAGTTGATGGATTTAAAAATGTTTCTTTGAATAATGTACTTAGTGTTCGTCTCGAGGATCCTAAACCAGAATTTCTACGTAATGAAGACAAACAAATGTACGTGGAACATGCTGAAAGTTCCTTTGAATTACAAGTTGGACTTCATGAACTGATGGGATATGGTTCAGGTAAACTGTTTCGGCGTGATTGTTATGGAAAACGAAATTTCCACACGAAAACTACTGAATATGTCATAAATGGAGATCCTGTAAAAGGTTGGTGTGAACCAGGAGAAACGTATGACAGCAAGTTTTCAAACCTTTCATCTGCAATAGACAAGTGTCGAGCTGAGTGCGTTGGAATTTATTTATCTGATTTACCTCTTGTTCTGGAGCAGTTCGGTTTGAATACCAACTGTGCTCAAGGCGATGTCCCAGATGCAGTCTATATTAATTGGTTGTCAATGATTCCTTCAGTTGTAACTTCCATGGAGTTTTATTCTCCAGCAGAAAATGCTGATGACATTGGATCATGGTGTCAAGCACATTATTGTGCTTGTTATGCGATTCTGCGAGTTTTGATTGAAGCTGACGATTCTGTGGGACGTACACATAAAGTAGTCGGGGAGAACAATGCATCTGATTTGTGTATTTCCTTAGTTCCAAAATGGCTTTTAACTGCAGCTCGTTCAGCAATTGGTGAATTCTTAAGAAAATTACAATATTACAAAGGTAAAACGAATGCTACGTATGGATATGCTTTCTTCCAACACTATAGTCAACTACTTCCAAAATATTTGACTGATTTGCTCTGGCATAAATGGCTACGCGAATATCTTCTGATGCTGCAAACAAGATCTAAGTGGTTGGATATAAAGCACAACCTACAACCTGATGATCTCGTCTTAGTTAACAGTGCTGACACACAGAGAGGTCTCTGGCGAAAGGCTATAGTTAAGCAGATGTACTATGACCAAGATGGCCACGTCAGGACACTGTGTTTGAAAACTTCAACTCAAGAAGTGGAACAAGATATAAGAAGCGTACGAAAGGTCAACGTGGTGATCGTTCGCGGGGAGTGTTAATCGCGACAGATAGATAGACTATATGATAAACAGCCAATCAATATTATGTGACCTTCTTGTCGCGATTATTGGTCAATTTATTGTAACTCTCACCACGTGATGACCTTGAATGTTCTTTTTTGTCTGTCACTCTATTTGTATATACATGTAATTAATTGACTGTTCATTTTGTCCGTACCCTCAATACTGTTCGGTACGTTTTTGTCCTATTTTTGTAATGACAGTGGATTTGTATATTTTTCTTGGTGTAATTGTATGATTTATTTTATGTTTTAGAAACAGATAAAGTTTAAGTCAAGTTATTCTGTTTTAACTATAGTAAAGCCAAGACTCTGTGTCGTCAGTATTGAGGAAGGACTAAATCTGTAGGACAAAAATAATCCTACAAAGTTTCGAACAGTATTACAGACGAAAGTTTCGAACAGTATGGCAGACGAAAGTTATGAAACTATGCCGTCGTTAACTCCACAGTTAGAAAAGAGTAATGAAACTGATTTCCCTGGAAGCAACGAGAATATATCACGCTATATGGTAGAATTGGAGCTAGCGAAATTGCGCATAGTCCAAAAAGAGAAAGAAATGGAATTAGAAAGATTACGACAAGGTAGTCGCGAATGTTCTTGTCACAATAAATCGCCTTACAAACCTTCTACTTCTCATAAAGTCTCTGTATCTCTTAATGATGAGTTCGCCAGAGGCATATCTAAGTTTCTGGACATGCCTAAAAGATATCAATATTTTAAGATGGATGCCGATGAACTTGAGTATTGGATCAATGAAAAACTGCAAACCTATGCAAACGAGGATTTTAAGGAACTGAGTAATCTTCAGCTGAAAAAACAGAAACATCAAGAGCTTGAGTTCGAAGTAACAGAGATACGTTTTGTGTGGCACATCATTTGGTTGAATAATAGCAACAATAAACGGTAACCTTTGCAAAACGTAAGAAGCATATACCTAGTGTTACCACTGGTGCTTGACTCTCAGTGATCATTTTCACTGCCATTTGATCTGCAGCTAGAAATAATGGATCTACCAACGGATTTTTATCACTTAAAATTGACGAGTTAGTGTGATTGTTAATTGTACTAGTAGTATTGTATTTCGCAATGACCGAATTACAGGAACTCAACCAAAACACTGAGAGGGATGAATTTAGGAATTTGTATTTGGCGGAATTATATTTTCAAATCAAAATAATAAATATATTAACAAACAACAGTAAGTATTTAAACAATACAAAGATAGAAATAGTCAATCACCACATCCGCCACATGTCGAATGTCTCCTTGCGTATTTATAATGATGTCTCGGTTTGCTTGCAAGTCTCTGGGATCTTCTAACTGATTCTGTGATATTATTTTCATCAGTATCATCTGGACTTATTTCTGAATTATCTACAATATCAGGATTAGTAGCGGAATCATTAAAATTATAATCGGAACGACCTACTTCGTTTATTCTCACTTGATCCAGGTGTCTGTTATGAATTGAATGATCTTCGATGTCTAATATTTTCACCATTCGATTTCCCATTTTTTGTAGTATGATTCCAACAGAAGGTCTATAGTCATTCCCTCTGTATTAATGTACATCAGAAGTCGTAGACATTAGGTGCTTTCTGAGAATTCGAGATTTGAACAGTTTAGCAGGACTTTCATGGGTACTTGTATGCTCCGCATTGCGATATTGAAGTAGGAAGTTATCTACACATCTCTCTAGCTCATCAAAATTTTTAGGACTCATCGATGCTATGGCACTCTTTAATGTTCGTACGAAATTTTCTGCCAAACCGTTTGACTGAGGATGACGTGGTGCTGTGTACAGATGACGGCAACCTATGTGTTTAAGCCAATCATTGAAGTTCTTCTCAGTGAAATGAGTACCATTATCAGTAACTAAGACATCTGGAATTCCTTGTCGACTAAAAATCTTTCTCAACGCTCTGTGAGTGAATTTCGCATTAGGACTATCTGTAATTATAACTTCTGGCCATCCAGAATAAGAATCCACAATAATTAAAGCATAGTATGAATTTAAGAATGGACCACAGTAATCTGCATGAATACGCTGCCAAACCTCACAAGACGTAGGCCACGGTTTCCACGACGACTTCCCATAGGACAATTTATGCAAACAGCTCTTCGATCTTTTGTTAATGTCAGCATCGATTTCCGGCCACCAACATGTTAGACGCGCCAATGATTTCATCTTATCAGCTCCCAGATGCGCAGAATGAAGATCATCCAAAATCGCAGATCTTAATGTCGGAGGAATAATAATTCTGTCATTCAGACATAGAAATCCTTCAGGATGGACTGAAATCTCATCTCTTCGCTTATAAAAGTCCGGAAATCTTCGCTTACACTGAATATTCCAACCTCTTTTTGTTGCATTTATAATGCACCCGTAATATTTCCGAGTATCGTTTATAAGTCGAACTCTATCCACAGGTAACGGCTGAACTAACAAACAATCAGTGTCATTAGCAGAATTTTCAAATAATGAATAACGAGATAAAAAGTCTGCATGAGGTATATCCTTAGCCGATCTGTGTTCAATAGTGTAATCATATGCACTTAGTTCTAAACTCCATCTTTGAACCTTAGCAGCAGATGATCTATTCAAAGATTTTTCTGGGTTGTAAATGAATTTCAAAGCCTGATGATCAGTAACTATGTGAAACTTAGTACCAAAGAGATACTTGTGCAAGCGTCTTATTGCCCATACAACTGCTAGAGCCTCTTTCTGGGTTTGTGAGTACCCTTGTTCACTCTTACTTAGACGTCTTGAAATACAAATAACAGGTTGTCCATTTTGCTCAAGTACTGCAGCTATACCCGTAGGAGAAGCATCTGTAGTGAGAACGGACTTATCTTTCGATGAAAAAGGTCTTAAGAAAGCTTGTTTATTAAGAAACTCCAAAGTTTTTCGCAAGATATCTTCATGTTGTTGTTCCCACTTAAATTGTTTACTGGAGACAATATTAAAAAGTGGAGATAACAGTTGAGTGAAATTGGCAATGAATCTGGAGTAAAATTGAAGAGTGCCAATCCATGATCTCAACGACGTCATATTATTAGGTGACGGTGCTTGAATTAGAGGTGCCAAACGCCTAGCATCAGGTCTGAAACCCTCAGAGTCTACTGTATATCCCAAGCATGATACAGACGACAAAGTAAAATGACATTTAGATGGATTAACAAGAACATTTTTCTCACAGAAGCGCCTGAACAGTTTTAAAAGACGTTCATTATGCAATTCGATGTTCGGACCATGAACTATAATGTCGTCTTGGTAAGACTCAACACCATCTAATCCGTCTATCATCTGATTTATTACTTCGTCAAGAGGAATTTGCAAATAAGCATCTTTTAGATCTATTTTGGAAAAGTATTTTGAGCCATGTAGCTTGTAGAGAATATCTTCGCTTTCTAGCGTAGTGCAACTTTGCTGTAGAAGACGACTATTGAGTGTAAGACGATAGTCACCACAAATTCTCGGTGTTTTTCCGTCAGCCTTTAGTGGTGTGACAATGGGAGTAGCCCAATTCGAAGATTCAACTGGCATAAGTATGCCCTGCTCAACCAACTTGTCTAACTCTTTCTTAAATGCATCTCGCAAACCATATGGAATTAATCGGCGCTTTAGGAAGATAGGATCACCCTCTATTTCAAGATGGATGGGCTGAATCTGCATGCCACCTACACACTTTGAACATTGAAAAACTAATTCTCTGAACAAAGATTCATCAAACAACTCAGTACAAAGTGAGATTTCAACATTTAACAATCTAAGGGCTTTCAATACCAATAAAGATGGACCATATTCACTAACAAGAAAGGGGATATTCACAAAATTGCCACTGTCTGACTTCAAACAAATGTTAGTTGCACCAATAAGAGGTAGTTTATGACCGGTTATGCCTGTAATTGAACTAGTAGTAGGGTCTACCTGAGCATGCTTACAAAGCGATAGTAAATCTTTCTTAGAAATTATAGATTCAGTACTCCCAGTATCAATTATAAAACAGTGAGACTTGCCTGAACTTGTAGTGAAGTTTCTCACTAGATGAGATTGAGTATTGTGAAAAGTTGAAAGAGACATTGACTTCATTTTATCAGACAGTTTGGGAGAATTATGAGTAGCATAATTATTTGAACTTCTGCAGACAGACTTGATGTGCCCAATTTTACCACATTTATGGCACTTAGCACTCCGAAAACGACAAGTGCTTCGTAGATGAAGTTTTCCACATGAAAAACACGGTTTGATGTTCTTGCTTTCTGTATGCATTCTATTACATGTGGACGGCAGTTTGGATTTCTTTCTATGAACACTTTTATTATCAACTTTGGACAGCATGACATCAGACTCTGACATAGTGGCAGCTGGGTAGTCACTGTTGACATCTTCATACGTAATACATAAATCCTTGGCAGTTTGAAAGGTGCAGGAAGGTATCTGAACCAACTCTTTCTCTAACTTAAGAATATTGATTCCAGCAATTAGACGATCACGTAGTTGAGTATGGAGCTGATCTCCAAAGTTGCATTTTGAAGCTTGTATCTGAAGTTGAAGAATAAAGTCTCTAATCTTCTGGTTGGGAGCACGAACAAATTTGTTGAACTGAGCCCTCTCTCGTGTTTCGAAAGTTGTTATGTGGAAGTGATTTGTTAAAAGTTCACGGAGTTTATCATAAGACAGAGAAATTGGTTTATCTGGAAATGACAGAGTTTTCAGTAGGCTGTACGCATCTAGCCCAATAGCAGTAATAAAATGAGCTGGAATTTTGTCATCGCGAACATTCTTCGACATGCACCATGCGTCGAAACATTCAAGATAATCGGAGATTTCCCGCGGTGAACCATTTATAGGAAACTTTCCAAGATTATTTATTTAATTCCATTGCGACGCCAAAATGTGATTGTTATTTGTACTAGTAGTATTGTATTTCGCAATGACCGAATTACAGGAACTCAACCAAAACACTGAGAGGGATGAATTTAGGAATTTGTATTTGGCGGAATTATATTTTCAAATCAAAATAATAAATATATTAACAAACAACAGTAAGTATTTAAACAATACAAAGATAAAAATAGTCAATCACCACAGTTAGGCAAGGAGGTGGTTTTCACTTGAAAGTTTTGTTGTCGTGATTGACTGTTGTTATTCTTATTGCCAAACTCCCTGTTTTCAGACGTGCTGACTTTCAATATTTCCCGACATTCAATTTTATTCACTAAGCGTTTCAATAGCTCAACGGTTCGCTGACGAAATTCCTGTTCACGTTCAACCATCTAGAAATTTTTCACCAAAGAAAAAGAAATGAAAAGATTCAAAAATATGAAATCTCACAAAAGCTTGTAAATAAATATATGTGGGATAATCGCCAAGTTGACAGAAGAGGTAGCGAAGATACCTGACCGAGTACAGAAGTAATGTTAAAGAAGTCGTCACCTCTTTCATTTATCAAACCTGGGGGTAGCATCGTTTCAAACTTATAGACGGAGGCGGCGACACAGGCGACGACATTAAAGTCATGCATGAGGAAAGGAAAACAAGACAAAGATTCTCATTATTACTCTGAAATAATCGGTGTCGCCTAATATCCAACAGCACTCACTTATCAACAGAGCAAAGACCTGAATTTCTAACACGAAAGTCAAGTCACTCGATGTGAATGTCTCATTAGAAAATTGAAGTAGATGTTTCACGAAAAGCACTGCCACCAGGCTACTGTCAACTTTTGATCATCCACGAACTTCGCTCACTAGATAATGTAGATCAGATTGCCCGTAGGAAAGGATATAATAAGCACAATAATGAATTCTAACTATGAATAAACCAAGAATATATTACAGGTTGGATGACGAGCAGATTTCAGACAACCATTGAAAAACCAGTACAGGAATACTGGACAGTTACTTCGTCCCAATCTGCGACTCATCAGTCATACGCAGGACCTTACGGTTACAAGGCGCTTTCATGGACGATTCAGCCACTGGAACCTGACTGGATGGCTTATGAATTCTAGCCTCTGCCAAGTCGCGATAGTTTTATACAGTGCAGCCGCCAGGCATTATCACATAGGCGAGTAGCCGTCTTCTTGCCCGACATAGTGGACCCTTCTGGTCACAACTTTTTACTGCAGATCCAGGTAACTTTCTATGTGGAGCCAGTCTTTAGTGACCATCAGACTGATTTTCAAGTGTTGGAAAATCGGTACTCCCTGTTGGTTTCTAATGCTTGTCTAATTGATGTCGACTTGTGGTCAAATCTATAACCAATCGAATCCCTGCAAACCAACAATTGACGATGAGTCTGATTATATTCACCACGTGCTATCACAAGTTGACAAGTAATCAGCTATTCTAACGAACTTATTTCCGAATGTCGAAGTGATGAATTTCAACACTTCTATAATTAGCGTGGGGTGGCGACCGGAGGTGTTACAAATTCATTATCACCATGATCCCTATTTTCTTATCAAGATAAGTCAATGGCAATATTCTACAAATTCACAGTCAGTGCACATACATTTCACACCGATGGAGTGCCGCCAGTTTTAAAAGTCCGAGGTGATTATAAAATTTAGAAGTTCAACATGTTATGTGCTCTGTGCCCTTCAGAGTCCATAGATGAGAGATCACTTGTTTATGTTCTGCAGCAACACCATGGTAACACAAACATATCTATATTTCAGGAAGTTTGATTGTTAAGTCTGGCAATGTGGCCACAATTAAGAGTACTGGTCAAAAGTCCCAGTGGTCAACGGTCTAGATTTGTAACCTGAAAGTCCTACAGTCCGATCCTTGTGTGTTCGTTCGTCCGTAGCTCAGTGATTGAATGCTCGGCAACAACGGAACACGCACATAATCTGAGGCTCATATTTCTGGCGACCAACGCACCGATTCAGTCCCAAACCACCTCATTACAACTTAGCCGGTATGTCAGAGACTAGCTAAGAAACCTACTACTATATGAAAAGGCACAATATCGACCTCCATTGCTGAAACTTCAAAGCTGAAAGCTTGATATCGCTACCTACTCCACCCCCCCCCGCAGTCGGAAGGTAAGCTTATGATAAATCAATAAAATCACCCACCTCTCTATTGCCATCTGACATAGTGTAAAGTGAACCAATATCTTTGAAACACTTTATTGGAAGTGACTGATTAAAGTCGGCATCATTTTCC